TGCCAGATAGCAGTCACTACGAGCCTAAGTCATTTATATCTGTTGTTGTGGTATCTATCTTGTTGTGGTGTATATCTGTAAACGGTCAAGGGGCAAGAAGACTTTCTAAACAATTAAAATTTATTGCTTCTAAAACTACCCTAGAAAATTATCATATCACACTTCTATGGGAGATTAGAAAGCATAAAACATGGACAGAGCCTCAACAGAAATAAAACAAATAATTTGTACTTCAAGCATCCCTTGGCATGCACATAAGATGGAGACAACTATATTTTCCTCTTTATAAACATTTCCTATCTTTCTTTTGACCCAGAAAAATTAATAAAAGTCTCTCAGCAAGAATTTATCAAATAGCTATTCTATGCTAAGTAGTGTTCTATCCTGCCTTGGCATACAACAATGAGTGAATGAATGAATGATGAATGAATAAAAAATTTTAAAGTGAATGAAAAAGTAGTTATTAAGAATTTACCAAATGCCCGGCACTGTGCTAAGCACCAGAGAAGTAAAAGCAAGCAAAACAGTCCCTTCCCTCAAGGAGCTTAAATTCTAATAGAAGAAGAGAGTATGTAGGGCAGTAGTGGCAAGGGAAGAGTATTTGGTTTTGGTTTTTTTTTTGGCTAGGCAATGGGGTTAAGTGACATTCCCAGGGTCACCCAGCTAGTAAATATCAAGTGTCTGAGGCTGGATTTGAACTCAGGTCCTCTTGATTCCTGGGCCAGTGCTCTAACCACTGCACCACCTAGCTGACCCCAGGAAAAGCATTTTGGAGAGGGAAATCAGAGAGAATATCAGTTGGGAGTGACGGGACAATTCCTTAAGCTCTTTTGTCATGAATGATAGTGCTGATTAATGATTGTTTTTAGTAGGGGCAGGGAGAATATGGGTTGGACTGTATGGCAGCAGCCATGCAGGGTCACAGAATGGCATCTCTAGTTCCAGACAGAGTTAGGAGCTGGAGAGCAGGCTATCCCAAAAGTATTTATTCAGTAGCTATCATGTATTTTTTTAAAATAAATTTATTTATTTTCAGTTTTCAACATTTACTTCCACAAGATTTTGAATTCCAAATTTTCACCCCATCTTGCCCCTCCTCTGCCCCAAGATGGCATGCATTCTGAATGCCCCTTCCCCTAATCTGCCCTCCCTTCTATCTCATCCCCTTCCCCTTCTATTTTCCTGTAGGGCAGGATAGATTTCTGTACCTCATTTCCTGTATTTCTTATTTCCCAGTTGTATGTGGAAACTTTTTTTTTAAACATGTGTTTTTAAAACTTTGGGTTCCAAATTTTCTCCCTTCCTCCCACCCCACCCACCCTCATTGAAAAGGCAAGCAAGTCAATACAGGCCATACATGTGCAGTTATGAAAACACTTCCATAGTAGACATGTTGTGACAAACTAACTCTATTTCCCTTAATCCTATCCTGCTCCACCCCCCACTTATTCTATTCTTTCTTTTGACCCTGTCCCTCCTCAGAAGTACTTCCTTCTGATTACCCCTTTCCCAATCTATCCTTCTCTCTATCATCCCCCTGCTCTCTTGTCTCCTTCCTCCCCTATTTTCCTGTAGGGTAAGACAGATTTCCATACCCAATTGAGTGTGTATGTTATTCCCTCCTTAAGCCAAATCCTATGAGAATAAGATTCCCTCATTTCCTCTCACCTTCCCCTGTGTCCCCACCACTGGAAGAACCTTTTCTTGTCTGTTTTGTGTGAGATAATGTACCCCATTCTACCTCTCCCTTTCTCCTTCTCCTAGTAGAATCCTCTCTCACCCCTTAATTTTATTCTCCAGATATCACCCCTTCATCTTCAGCTCATCCTGTGCCCTCTATCTATCTATCTATCTATCTATCTATCTATCTATCTATCTATCTATCTATCTATCTATCTATCCATACATATAATTTTTCCCCTCCCACTACCCTAATACTGACAAAGGTCTCATGAGTTATAAATATCATCTTTCCATGCAGGAATGTAAACAGTTCAGCCTTAATAAGTCTCTTATGATTTCTCTTTCCTGTTTACCTCTTCATGTTCCACTTGAGTCTTGTATTTGAAAGTCAAATTTTCTATTCAGCTCTGGTCTTTTCATCAAGAATGCTTGAAAGTCCTCTATTTCACTGAATGACCATTTTTTCCCCTGAAGGATTATACTCAGTTTTGCTGGGTAGGTGATTCTTGGTTGTAATCCTATCTCCTTTGCCCTCTGGAATATTATATTCCATGCCCTGGTCCCTTAATGTAGAAGCTGCTAAATCTTGTGTTATCCTGATTGTGTTTCCACCATACTTGAATTGTTTCTTTCTGGCTGCTTGCAATATTTTCTCCTTGACCTGGGAACTCTGGAATTTGGCTACAATATTCCTAGGAGTTTTCCTTTGGGATCTCTTTCAGGAGGAGATTGGTGGATTCTTTCAATTTCTATTTTGCCCTCTGGTTCTAAAATATCAGGGCAGTTTTCCTTGATAATTTCTTGAAAGATGATGTCTAGGCTCTTTTTTTGATCATGGCTTTCAGATAGTCCAATAATTTTTAAATTCTCTCTCCTGGATCTATTTTCCAGGTCAGTTGTTTTTCCAAGAGATATTTCACATTGTTTTCTAATTTTTCATTCTTTTGGATTTGTTCTACTGTGTTGTGATTTCTCATAAAGTCACTATCTTCCAATTGCTCTATTCTAATTTTTAAGGAAGTATTTTCTTCAGTAATCTTTTGGACTTCCTTTTCCATTTGGCCAATTTTCTTTTTAGGCATTCTTCTCCTCATTGGCTTTTTGGACCTCTTTTGCCATTTGGGTTAGGCTATTTTTTAAGGTGTTATTTTCTTCAGTATTTTTTTGGGTCTCCTTTAGCAAGCTGTTGACTTGTTTTTCATGATTTTCTTGCATCACTTTCATTTCTCTTCCCAGTTTTTCCTCTACTTCTCTCACTTGCTTCTCAAAATCCCTTCTGAGCTCTTCCAAGGCCTGGAACGGATTCATATTTTTCTTGGAGGCTTTGGATGTAGGAGCTTTGACTTTGTTGTCTTCTTCTGGTTGTATGTTTTGATCTTCTTTGTCACCAAAGTAAGATAATATAGTCTGATTCTTTTTGCGAGGTTTGCTCATGATCCCAGCCAACTACTTGAGTTTTAAACTCTTTGTTAAGGTACGAATCTGCTTCCAATGTGGAGAATGTACTGTCCCAAGCTTCAGGGGTTTGTATAGCTGTTTTCAGAGATACTTCTAGGGACCTGTAAATTTTCAGTTCTTCCAAGGTGGTATGATAAAGGTGGAGGTGTTTACTCTCTTCCTGACCTGTGCTCTGGTCTTTGAGTGACCAGCCACAAGCGGTCTTTTCTCTCTTGGAACTGTGAGGAGGGTTTTCTCTGCACCACCACTACAAGCTCCACCTAGCCAGCGCTCCTCCTCACCCCAGGACCGCCACCCAGAACTGTGACCCAGATCTAAGCACTGGCAAAGCAAGAGATTCTTGCCTCAGCACTGGCAAAGAGATCCCTGCAGTCCCCCTCTGATCAGCCACTTGATTCCCCCTCAGTCAGTGGGCCGGAAGCTCAGGACACAGCCACTGGCCTGGCATCTGCGCTCTGCGCTCTGGAACTGGCTCTGACCTAGCTCTTCTCTCACCAAAAAAACAGACTTTTCCCACTGACCTTCTAAGTTGTCTTTGGCGTTTGTGGATTCAGGAGTCTGGAAGCTGCCACTGCTGCCTGTGATTCATTCCTCTGAGGCCTGCTCCAGGTTTGCTGTGGACTGCGCGCCCACACCGAACTGAGCTGCTCACCCCACCAGGCACAATATGCCTTTCTGATCAACCATCCAGGCTGTTGTGGGCTGGAAATTTGTTTTACTCTGTCTTTTTGTGGGTTCTGCTGCTTTAGAATTTGTTTAGAGCCATTTTTTATGGGTATTTGGAGGGGTTTGGGGGAGAGCTCAAGCAAGTCACTACTTTCACTCCACCATCTTGGCTCCAGCTATCATGTATTCAATTACATGCATTGGACTATGCTAGGTGCTACTCTTTCTCCTCCAGGTACTTATATTATGCTGGGGGCTACAGCATGGAAAAGGATAAGCATATGCATGATAATTTGAAGAGAAACAAGAAAAAATATTGACAGAGCCTTAAAGAAGTCTAGGGATTATCAGAGGCACAGAGGAGACAGGGTACAGCAGGGACAGGGGGGAATACATCCAGTACAAAGTCAATCAGGCAGGAGGTGGAGTGCCAAAGTTATAGAATGGCAAGTGGGCAGGTTTGACTGGGACAGAGCCAGCATCCGAGGTATCAGATTGCTGTGGCTGGCAAAACTCCCTAGAGGCCCTAAAAAGATTAAAAGGTCACTGGGAAAGTTTAACGAAAATAAATGAAAATACAACACAACGTAGATAATATTAATTTGTGGTTTTCTGAAGCAATGTTCAGCCTGCAGGGAGCCATTTCTATTTGAGTTTGCCACTAACTGTGTACGAGCCTGGAAGCAATGTTCATTAAGCATAGACAGGTAAGTTGGGGCTTTAAATGCCAGAGGGATTTGTATTTTATTCTAGAGGAAACAGGGAGCCAGAGCAGTCTTGAGCAGGAGAGTAATGAAGACAGATTTGTGCTTTAGCAAGATTATTTTGGCAGGTATGTCAAGGTGATATTTTTGCCAGGGGAGCTGGTCCAGTGCAGTATTTCAGAAAGGGAGAAATAGCTTATTTTCAATTCCATATCTCTTAGCAAAAATTTTAGAAAGGAATTGTAAGATTTCAGAAATGGAAGTGACCTTAGAGATCAAGTTCCACCACCCTTGTTTATAGATGAGGACATTGAGGCACAGAGAAGAAACAGAGTTAATTTTTATTTTTACTAATTATATTTTATTAATTATTAATTATAAAACTCACTGATCTTTAGCAAAGAAAAGTCCTTTTAATATTCACAGAAATTTGGAAGCCAACAGCCCTATTAATTCCAGTTCTACCTCTGCCTATCAAACAAGACTAACCTTTTATTTTCTGTGGTTCATGCAAGGGCTCTCAGTGTTCCAAGGGTTAGCTCCTTTCTGCATCTAAAATTCTGTGGCTTCTATGATCTTGTTGCAGAGAATAAAGAGTAGTGACCTCCAACTTGGGTTTGGGGAACAGAAAAAAGAGTAGTATTACAGGAACAAGTTATCACATGAAATAAAATATTTGACCCCAGTAAATTTTACAGATAACTAAAGCCTACCCTTTCAAGCACTGAAACTTTTTTTAATTAAGTATTTCCAATGGAAGCCTATTTCAAATGTTACAGATATTGAACCTAATTTAAACTTACTGCTGGTTCAAGTTCATTATCATCCATGAATGAATGGTCACCCATGATAGCACAATTTAGACACAGCACACCTAGATTTCAGCAAAGCACTTGATTAAGTCTCTTATGCTTGTCCTTCAGACAAGATGTAAAGATATGACTGATTGCTTCACAGCACAAATGCTAAAATTGGAATACATACAGACAAGGCATACTCATAAAATTTATAAATGACATGAAGCTAGGGAATGAAAGAGTTGGTTCCTCAAATGGCCTTGACAGCACTTGGCAGAGTGCCTGGCACATAGTAGGCAACTGATAAATGTTTACTGATTCATTAACAGTGTAGAATGGTGGGTTAATTGAACAAGAAGAAATTTAATGGGGATAAATGTGAAATTGGTTCAAAAATTCAACTTTACAAGTACAGGATAAGGCATATATGGCTAGTTAATGGTTGCTTTGGAAAAGATCTGGGTTTTTGTTTTTGTTTGTTTGTTTGTTTTTAGTGGACTACAAGTTCAATATGAGTCAGCAGAATAAAAACATAGAGTTGAGAATGAAGGTGATAGATAGCAACACTATACTCTGCCCTGATCAGACTACACCTGCAATACAATGTTTAGTTCTAGGCACCACATTTCAGGGAGGATACTGACAAGCTGGACTGCTCTCAGCCAAAAAAAGGATGATGAGGATAGCAGAATGCCTGGACCCCATGCTATGTAGTGATCAGATGAAGGAACTAGGGGGTTTTGCCTGGCCAGGAAAAGATGGAGAGGACATGATAGCTTAGTTACTTGAAGGGATGTCCTATGTAAAATGCATTCAACTCATTCTGCCTGGCTCTAGATGCAGAAGTTGGAACAAATGGATGGAAGTTACAGAGAGACAGATTTAGGCTCAATGAAAAGAAAATATTTGCCTTGAGAGGCAGCAGGTACCTGAAAGTTTTCAAACAGAAGCTGACTAACCTCTTAGTAGGGGTACCATAGACCAAATATGGGTTGGACTAGCTGAGCTGACTTGTGGGATCCTTTCCAACACTGAGATTCTGTGAATATGCAACAATACAGTGATAGCTTCATAGATATTAAAGTATGTAGGACCTGTATGACCCTAGAGTCAATGGTCCCAGACCTTTGTTTTTTTAAAAAAAATTCTTTTACCAGAATTTATTTTTTTAGCCTATACTCTTGCTATTAAGTGTTATATTTTACTCTTTCAATGTGCCTGTCCCTCTTTTTAATTTGCTGTTTCTGATTTGCTTTGGGACAGGAAATAAAAATTATTAGAATTCTTATTAGAATTATATATAACAAAGGCAAACCACTGTTGAGTTTGGCTGCTCAGAGATGATTTTTGCTTGTTCTCTTCCTAGCCCTCAACAATTGCCAAGTGACTGTTTCTGTTATCGTTTAATTTCTCCCCCTTCCTCCGAAGGATTTTTATATCTATCATATAATTTAATCATTACAACCCCATGAGGCGTACAGAGGAGATATTATTCCACATTTTATATATAGGGAGACTGAGGTACAATAGAGCTAATTACTTCAAAACAAGTCTTAGCACAAAGTAAGAGGAAGAACCCTAAGGGGTCAAAACTCACATCTCCTGGTTGTAAGCTCTTTCCTTTCTCTGTAACATGCTACTTATTAAAAGGAGCAAGCAGAGAGGAAGGAACACAGGGAAAGGTATCTGAGCTGGTGGGATGAGATGATTAGATGGTGCCAGATTTGGAGTGAAAAAAAAAAACAACCTGAATTTTAATTATGCCTCAGATACTGTATGACCATCTGTAAAATGGAGATAATAATACTACCTACCTCACAGGGTTATTGTGAGGATCAGATGAGTTCACAAAGTGCTTTGAAAACTTTAAAGTGCTCTATAAATGCTAATAAGTATTATTATAATGATGATTGTCTATTATAAACACTGAACAGAAGGACAAATTTAAGTGAAGGAGGGGCAGAGGTATAAATTAGATGAAACCATAGCCCTAAAAGTGCTAAATAGAAGGCTTTTGAAGGAACAGCCAAGCTTGAGGCAGCATCCATGCCCTCATTTGTGGACTGGGAGATTTTTGTCATGGAAGATGTTTTCATAGTTCCTCAGCCTCTGCCTATTTGTCTGCCTTATTTTCTCCTTCTCATTCTCTGTTTGAAAGTGAAGTCTTCAGTAAACAGAAGGGGACAATTCCATATGGCCCCCATCTCCTGTCTATTCACTATGCAAGTAAAGGGCGCCCAGGTGTTACCTGTCTTCTGGTCATTTAGCTGAGATCTCTGTAAATGCCAGCTGGTTGCCACATGTTTAATATTTCTGCAAGCCCTGCACACCTCCCCCAAACTAAAATTAAAATGGCACAAAAACCAGAGATAGTCAAAATGGTGAAGATTCATTCCATTAGATCTTCCACAGCTTCCTCCTCTAGCCATTCGCTGTATTACCACAGGCCCCTGTTCCAAGTCGCACACTATATTTCTTTCTGACAAATCTGGTTAACTGTCTTCTCTAAGTCTTTCTCATTGCCTTGGGAAGCAGCATCTGAAATCTTAGTGATGACCTCAAAGAAACCATCATGCTGTATCTCTCTTCCCCTCTCAGCTGCACAACTTGAGAGAGCTGTTTATACTCACTATTTCTCTACTTCTAAACCTTCTGTAATCTCACCCCCTGCCTTCAACTGAAACTGCTCTCCCTAACGTAACCAATGAACACCTAATTGCTCATTCTTCTGGACTTTTCCCAAGTCCTCATCTTTCTTGACTTTTCTGCAACCTTTGGAACTGTCAATTACCCTCTCTTCTCGGATGGTATGCTAAACTGATTGCTCTCCTATCTGCATAACTGATACTTTTCAGTCTCCTTTGCTAGATCTTCATCCAGGTTATGCCTGATAACTATAGATGGCCCTCAGTGGTCCATCCTGAGCCCTCTTCTCTTTTCTTTCTATACTGTCTTACCTGGTGATCTCTCCAGCTCCCATGGGTATTCTCTCTGTGCATCTACATATGTAACTCCAGCCCTATATAACTAAATACCTTTTGGACATCTCAAACTGAATGTCCAGTTGGCACCTCAAACCCAGTGTGTTCACAATAGAACTCACTATCTTTCTGTCCAAATCTTCTTCTCTTTTGAGCTTCCCTGTCAGCCAGGCTTACAGTCTCATTTCCATCCTTGACTCCTAACCTGCACTCACCTTACATATTCACTAGAGTCTAGAAGTTCAGATTCTAGTTTGATCTCTGTATCAAGGGCCCAATTTTCTTCTCTGTAAAATTGGAGGGCTTAACTAGATCTATTTTTTTTTAATTTTTAGGCAATTGGGGTTAAGTGACTTGCCCAGGGTCACACAGCTAGTAAGTGTCAAGTGTTTGATCTGAGGCCAGATTTGAACTCAGGTCCTCCTGACTTCAGGGCTGGTGTTCTATCCACTGTACCACCTGGCTGCCCCTGAACTAGATCTTAAAGGTCCCTTCCAGTTCTGAGATTCTGTGAGTCTAAGTGCCAAACTCAAAGCTAAGTGTATGGAATGAAGGTGTAGGTGTGACTGTGTGGCCCAGAAGCATTAGCAATGTTCCTGTGATCTGCTAGATTCTTATGTCCCACTTATACCTAGTGCTATGTGGAATACAGTAACTCCCCTTGCTCTGAATGTTATATTTCCATTAGTGCCACACAACAGGTCATTCGTTCTTTTGGTTGTATCTTCATATAGCTGACTCTTATAAAGTTTTCAGTATACTAGAACTACTAGGGATTCCCCTCCGCACTCCAACTTTTAATATGAATTGCTTTCTAGCCATCTTTTCCTCAGACTGAATTTATATGTGTGTGTGTGTGTGTGTATGTTTTAAACTAAGTACCAGACTCTATATTTATTCTTATTGAATGTAATTTTGTTAGTTTTAGCCCAATTCTAGCCTGCTGAGATATTTTTGAATCCTAATTCTTTCATTCAACATATTAGCTACTCCTTCATGCTTTTTTTCATTAATAAATTTGACAAACAAAACATACATTTTTTTCATTCCAGGCATTGATTTTAAAAAATTGATGAAAGATCCAAGTAAAGGACAGAACTCTACCCCAAGACTCAAAAAGAAATAGAAGCCACTAAACCATACATAAGGATCCTTGAGGGTCACATATTGATTTAGCTTTAAAATGTAATATTATCTGTTTTGTTGTATTTTTATTTATTTTGTTAATATTTTCCAATTACATTTTAATCTGGTTCAGGTCACACATGGAGTGTAATGGGCCACATATGGCTTGTAAGGTTCCCTCCCTCACTTGATAGGTCTATTCTAAGCACCTCCAAAGCTGACAGTGATCTATTAACCAGAATGCTTTGGGTCTGGTCAGTCAACATATTCCAAACCCACTTATAATTGTATACATCTTTCCATCTTGTCCATAAAGATTTTATAAGAGACTTTTATCAACTTTCTATCAGAAAAATCAGATTTACTATGACCATAGCATTCTCCTGATCTACTAATCTAATAATAAAGTAAAAAAATAAGATGAATTTAGTTTGGCATGACTTGTTATTAATGAACCCATGATGGCTCTTAGTGGTAACTTCCTTCCTTTTGAAATTACTATAAATCATCCCTTTAAGAATCTGTTTTCCTAAAAAAAAAAAAGAATCTGTTTTAGAAGTTAACATAAAGCTTACCAGTCACAAATTTGAAATATCAATCTGCTTTCTCTTTTGTAGAAATGCAAATTAAAGTACTTTTGAGATTCCACCTCATACCCATCAGAGTGGCAAAGATGACAAAAAAGGAAAATTATAAATGTTGGAGGGACTGTAGGAAAACACATATTTGATGTACTGTTGGTAGACCTGTGAATAGGTACAGCCATTCTGGAAAGCAATTTGGAATTATACACAAAAAGGTAGAACAATGAGATGGTTAGATAGTGTAATGGAATTAGTGAACATGAAATTGGATAGACTTCAAGATATACTGGAGGATAAAAGGGCCTGGCATGCTATGGACCAAGGGGTCACGAAGAGTTTGACATTAGTGAATGACTGAACAACAACGAAATGTTTTCCCCCAGCTATACTATTGCTAGGCCTATAACCAAGAAGGAGGAAAAGGTACTTTATGTACAGCAGCTCTTTTTTGTGGCGGCAAAAAAAAAATCCCGACCTCAAAAAATAAAAATGTAAACTAAGGGGATGTCCATCAACTGATCAATAACTGAACAAGTTACATAAATGTGATGGAGTATTATTGTGCTATAAGGAAAAAGGAAATAAATGATTTTGGAAAAATATAGAAAGACTTAGATGAACTAATGCAAGGTGAAATGAGCAGAACCAGAAGAACAATTTACACTATAACATCAACATTACAAAAATGAACAATTTTGAGAACTTTTATAAACTGATGAAGAATGAAATGAGATGGAACCAGGAGAACAATTGATACAATAACATTAATAACAAACAACTTTGAAAGCTTTAAGAACTATGATCAGCACAATGACCAGCTATGATTCTAGAGGACCAGTGATGAAACATGTTATCCATGAGAGAGAGGTGATGAGATTTAGGACATAAAATGAGACACATATATTTTCATATAGAACCATTGAAGGAATGGCTTCTGCTTGCCTGTGTATATTTGATATTTGAAAAATTGTTTTTCTTATTTTTCTCCAATGGGGTAGAGGGGTAAAAGGATGATAAAATAGATTTTTGTTCATTTTTTTTTAAGTAGAGAGGTGGTAGAGAATTCTATAGATGTGTCATGTTGCATACTGTTTCAGATGAAAATCCCTACATTATTTGTTTTATTTAACTGCTTTACTATGCTACAAGAAACCTCTCATAAAGTGGGAGTAATCTGTAAATGTTCACAATATGAAAATAAAACACATTAATAAAACTTTTTTTAAAAATTGGGATATCATTTTCTTACCTTTAGGCTAGAATCCTTTTGCCAGGATTCCTCAAATATCACTATTCAATAATCACACCCTCAGATTCTTTCAGTATCCTGGGATGTAATTTTGCTCATGTCTTCTTGAATCCCTATCCACCCTTTAAAGCTCAATTCAAATGCCAGTTCCTTTAAGAAGACAAGACTTATTTGTGTCTAACGGTAGCCATCTCTGGGTGACGAGGGAAGAGGGAAGAAAAAAAAAGAAATTTACATGATAAGTTTGATGTATATTTGAATGGAATATTAAGTTGTGCATAGCAGATTCGCAGTTTCATGTACAATCATCTTTTTTTCCATTGTACTATGCTTGTTTTATTCCTTAAATTAAAAAATAAAACTTAAAAAAAAAAACAGAAGACAAGACTTCCCTGATATCTTCCCCATTCTCCAACTTGGTAATGACCTTACCCTTCAGGCTTCACATAGCATTCAGTTTTGGAAATCCCTAATGCATTTGTCATGTAAAACTGTATATCACCGATAACTACACTGATACCTTCTCCTCTTACTCCCCATACATCCCCCAAAAGGCTTTCTTTGTGAGGGTCCTTGAAATTTGGGACTGTGTTTTTATCTAAATGTTGTATCTCCCCAAACATATGGTGAATCATTCCACATTTACTGTTGTAGTCACTTAATCCATGTTTGTTGTTGTTCTTTATAGGTTGTGTTTGGGCAAGATTCTCCACAATGTGTCAATCTATACTTTGATATTTGTTGACTTCATTATGAAGGTGGGTGCAAGGGAGGATGGCAAAAAAAATCTATTAGAAAATATGACTCAGGTTTGAAAAACAAAAGAGGTCAAAGGCTTGTTGATCACTCA